AGCTTCGCTTATTTTGAAAGGTAGCTTTTTCTTCACAATGCTCTGCGATACCAACTTATAATCAAACGTATTCCAGTCCTGTCCCCAAATATTGACCGTTCCATGGTTTTTCTAAATTTAAAAAAATTAATTTAGATTTTTAGTCCGTAGTTATAAGTTATATTTTAATTTATTTATTATCCATTTAATTAGTTTTAGATTAGTTGCAAGTAACTCTTGTTGTTGAAAAATTACATCAGTAAATACCTAAACATGTGAATAAACTAATAAGAGGAAATCAAGTATCGTTTTTCTTTCGTTACATATATGTATGTATATTCCCTGAACATGACTCTGACAGATTCCTGGGACATGCATGGACTGTTCATAATGTAACTCATGTATGTCCCAGGAATATGCATGTACATCACATGAATGTTCCAGGCATATTCTGGGAATATCATTTTGCTATGTGGGTACACTGTCAGTTCTTTGGAAAGACGAAAGAATAAAGCATTTTTTCGCACAGAATAAACTAATAAGATGAAATAAAGGATCGTTTTTCTTTCGTTACATATATGTATGTATATTCCCTGAACATACCATATACATTCATTGAACATACACATGTACATTCACTGAACACACCATGTACATTCCCAGAAAATACACATGGAATGTTCATAATGTGACTCATGTATGTCCCAGGAATATGCATGTACATCACATGAATGTCCCAGGTATATTCTGGGAATATCATTTTGCTATGTGGGTAGTTTTTCATGGGCCGACGTTTAAGATATTTAAGTCATCCTCAGGGCTCTAAAAAGGAAAACGTTAGCCTTGAGGCTTAAGCTCAAGGCTAAAACCCTCTGTTTTCTTGCCTATTTAACCTTCTTCGCATCCGGTGTAGTTTCCAAGTTTCCCCATACTAGTCATCGACAAAAACCCACCCCATAGAAAAAGAAAGCTCGAAAATGTACCTGCTGCATCTTCTGCAAATGATCGTGCCGTTCCAGTATGCCTTGAATAAGAGCGACGTCGCCGCGGATCGATGCATGCACATCCTTCTCGGCCGCCAAGTCCAAAACATGCAAAGTGTTGACCACCACGCCGGAAATAATTCCAGAAAACGGCCGGTCGATTCGCTTCTTGCCGCGGCTCCATTTCCCCCCAATTTGGATCTGCGATTGGGTGTTAAACACTTGCAGCTGATTGCCTGAAACTCGAACTTTCAGTCAATTAGCCCAAGACGGGGCTCGATCGGTTTTACCGCCCGGGAAGCTGGACTGCACGTTGTAGTCGTCCACTTGTAGCGTCGAATTGTAGCCTTGTCGATGGAACTTGATCACGTGGTATTGGTTGTCATTGACTTTCACCGATATTTCGCCCAATGGGTGATCGTTCGTGCCCATGTTGTACACGGCAAACACGTTCCCTTCCACCTACAAAAATTTACATTCATTTTGTTGGGCTCACACTGCATTTCAATCGACTTCTTGGTGGCCTTGTGGTGCACACAGGCCTGGCCCTAGAGGACATTTGCCCAGTTTCCAAGGCAACTGTCGTTGTTTCACTACAATGCCTCGATAGAAAACGGGGATCAGACGGATTGCACCACGGAGCAACGGCCTTTTCGACCCATGTAGCATCATATATCGGGCATATATTTATACAATATTGGCAATTATTAGCCAATATTACTCCAATATTAGAATAGTTTTTTGACCAATATTGATGTATCTACAAATACAATATTGGCAAAATATTTTTAATTTTCAGTATTGCTTGAAGATTAACATGCAATATTGCATAGCAATACTATGCCAATTAAACGATTTCGATATAATTAATATCATATCATAGAATATTGTCTTAGTAGGTAATAATTATTAATAATATCTTACGGCGTGATTTATAATCAAAGTTAAATTGTTAGAGAAAAATAGAAACAAAAAACCGGTTGCAAATCTAATTGCGGCGTCTAAGGCTTATTTGTTATTATAGTTATAGTGATGTGTATCTTTTTGCCTACTCTTTTTAATATAATAAGTTCACAACTAAATAGTATATGTAAATACATGCTTTCATGTATATACATGAGGGCATGCATTTATAAACCTCTGAGCTTTATTCGAGTTTTGCTAATTTTGTAAGGTAAAATGAGGTTCCACCGCACCAATGCCGGGTCTTATTTGAACTGCTTTGAAACTAGTTACAAACTGTTATTCTAAAGCTTATTAAACATAATCTTTATATTTAAACTCGCACAATCCTAAAAATAAATAATTATGTAAATAAGATTTGTTGTATGCTACAATAACGAATGTAATCTAACAACTTACATAGAAAATTAAGTATAATCTCCATTTTTAGATAGTTTTGTTCTTTTTCTGTAAAAATATATACGTACTTGTAGAACATATACAAAGTCCGAATATTGTAGCACAATGTAATATCATTTTCAGGTCATCAAGATCGAAAAAATCGATGTATATAAAAAGGCAACTTGAGAAAGAAGTTAACAACTTTAACTCCAGCTATTGCTAAAAAGCATAAACCCAATTTTGGCAATTGTGAAAACACTAATTCTGAAAGCTTTGGGTTAGAACTTCAGAGTGATGAAGCTTCTAATGATGCCTTATATGTTAACCGGCCTAGATATCAGGAAATATATCGGATTTTCTCTGGCTAGTGCTGGAGATAGAGAGGATGGAAGAAAGTCCAGGCCGGTGAGTTTTTTTTCGTCTAATAATGGTTTCATACAAGTAGACAAATAGCCATTATTTGTTTTGTAATTTTAGTAAAATCTAACTGAGTTTATTTTATTTCTAGGAACCGATATCAGGACAAAAATAAGATGTGCGTGTGATAAAAAATGTTTGTTATTTAATTAATATATGTGGGTATTGTTCAATTAATATGTGCATTATTTAATATTCTGATTCCTCACAAAAAATAATTGAAAATAATATGTCATTGTTAGGGTTCCGCCAATATTGAAATGTGAATGTATGTATTTATTTTTAATTAAAATCGGATAATAAGATATAATAATGTTCTTATTATCCGATTTTAATTAAAAAGAAATATATACAGGGTTATTCACGGCACGGAAGTTTGCGGCTAAACCGTTCGATTTTTAAAAAGTATTATTTTATGAATTGTCCGACGCCTACCGAGCGCACATTTTACAAATATTTTTGTAATGTACAGGGTGTCCCAAAGGCTCTAAAGGTATCAAAGTTGCGTTTTTT